TCACATGGAAGGTCGTTCGAATGGAGATAATCTTTGGAAAAATAGCATGGGAGTTGGCGGAGATATGCCAGCAAGCGAAGCGGCGCAGATGCACATCAAGAAGAACCGCACCTCGTCATTTTCCAAGAAAGAATGATTCCACAAAGCTCTCCTCGAAAAGAGAGTTCGACCAGGTAGGAATGGGGCTGGAGATATGTTTCAACTTCCGACAGGCTTGTCTACCTAACTCTTGTCAAGAGGGGCATGGGTGGGTGGTGCAGAGAAACACGACCAGGGTAGACTGTTCAAGCCAACAAAGAAGCATTCACCTTCACCCTCACTCTCACTCACCCTAGCTACTCTTCTTCACTGAGGCGGTAAAAGACCACTCTTTCAAAGCCACTTGAATAACGTTCTATCAGAACACATATCCTTTGTCACCAATGTGGAGGGCCCAGAATGGTTCATCCACGCATGGAGGGAAGTAAGAGATTAAATGGGAACAAAATCTTTGAATGCCCGTTTCTACCATGGCGTTAATCATTCCGTGTCCTTTCCTGACCACCGGCTCTTCTGCAACTCAGTATTCTCGAGCATATACACATCTCATCATATCTAAGATACTCCGCACACATATCGCCAGCACGAAGACGAAAGCCCCCTCCATCCTTCAAAGACCAAGAACCATCAACCTCGGCCTCCTGCCCCAACCTATCAAAGAACTTGACGATGTGCTACAAAGTCCACTCGCACACAATGTCGTGCGACATCCGCCCAACCATAACATCAACAGCAACCCTCTACATAAACCCCTACCAAACACCACCACGCTGTCCCTGCCGCTCCTCCTCCTCCTCCCCAAACTACTCCTCCTCATACTATCACGGCTCCTCAACACCATCCAACTCCCGCCCCTGCCCCTCCCACGCCTGCTGCAGCCTCAACCTCATCCTCTACCGCTGCCCAGCCTACTGCCGCCAACCGACAGACTACCACCAATACGCCGAATCATCCACCACCGCCCAGCACTCTTACTACCCCCAACACACCTCCCGCACCGCAAACTCGTATTCATACTCCTACACAAACGACCACACATACTCCTACTCACCACACTACCCCTACACCTCCCCCCGCCCACGCTGGCGCACAATCCGCGTCTTCGACCGGACCCCAGACTTCCACGCCCTCGAATCCGCCGACCTCCGCTTCGCGATCTCTGAACTTGTCGACATTGGCGGGATCCTCCTCCACGCGGAGTCTGAACTCGAAAAAGCGCGGCTGCGAGCAGATCGCGAACGCCGGCGTCACGATGCCGCGCACGGGCGGTCCTGTGAGCGCCAGCGGGGCCAGCAGCGGGAGTGTGACTGGACTCGACGCATCGCGGAGATGGCGCTCGAAGCGGACGATATCAAGTTCAGCTCCGAGGTGTTGGCGGATTGCTGGGTGAAGTACGTCGGGTTGCTGCGGAAGTACGAGTCGTTGGGACAGCGGCGGGTGAGCGGGCTTATCGAGGATCGTGGACATCGGCGGCTGCGGAGGAGCGGGGTCGAGGTTGAGGTTGAGGTTCCTAGGTTGGATAAGGGGAAGCCGTTTCGGTATGTTTCGCGGGAGAGCTGGACTCGGGAGAAGAGGGTTCCTGAGGGGGATCGGGAGTGTTGTAGGGAGTATAAGAAGGGACATGGTAGACCGGAGGCGAATACGGGGCGACGTCGGTCGGTGAGGTTTGCGGATGAGGTTGGTGGCGGGAAGGGGTACTTTAATGAAGGTGGGCGGAGTCGGAGGTGGTCGGTGTACTAGATTGCTCCCTTGTCATTCCATCGAGTTGCGACGGGGGGGTTAATGGTTCACGAAATCCAAGGCGTGGGCGCCGGGTAGAGTAAACATCGCTTCATTAAGTTTTGCGTCGAGATGCTCTAAATGCTATATGCTCGCAAATGTACCGCCCAATGCATGTCCGTGACTCCGAGCTCGCTAATACGGGGTTCCCCAATCATGCTGATGACCCTGAACAAAAACACAATTCCTGCTCACGACTAGTAGACGAGCTTGAATTCGACATCCGACTTGATGGCTTTCAGAGTCTCCGGGATCGGTAGTGGATCGTAAAAAGGATTCGGGCGGAAAGTCACCTCCTTCAACTTGGGCAAGATGGCCTTGCTTTCGAAAACAAGTTTATACAAAGCGTCCTGCAGGCCCTTTTCGTAGACTGCGCGTTCCTTTGCGGATAGCTGGTCGACCTCGATGTCATGCCACAATTCCGCCAAGTCCAGAACCTCCACCGTCGGCGGCAGTCGCTGGATTATGTCAATCTTCTCAACCCACTGCGGTTTCCCGTACAAGATTCCTATGTCGAGTTTGACGTTGCGCAGCGACTTCATCTTGGGAAGTACCGTCAGTGTGCCATCTCCGCCAACGTGTTGCGAAAAGTTGCCCGCTAAGATACCCTCAAACGAAAAGGTTTCGAGAGTGTCGGCCACCAGAGACAAAGCTGTATTCAGGTTGTGTTCACCGTCGGCAGGCTGTTCGGCTACACCGCTGGGACCCATCTCGAGGAGCTTGAGATTGGGACAAAGGGCGCATATTGCATGCCATCCTTGGCCCCACATGCTGCTCCGAACAAGTCGGAGTTCCTCGACATTCTTCCAGCTACCATCGTCACCCCAGCCATCACCGGGCTCCAGAACGGCAGGACGATACACGGCTGAACCGAGCTCGACGGAGCGCAGGTTGGGTAGTCGCAAAAGGCACGGCAACTCGCGGCGCGGCCAGAAGCTTGCGCCGGGAAAGTCCGGCATCGGCTCCAGCATGACGCGGGTGAGGGAGCTCAGGACGCGCGGGCAGCCCTCGGCGGTTTCGATGTCGGGGGTGAGAATAGCTTTGAGCTTCTGGTACTCTCCAGCGGCGAAAGGCATGCGCATGTGCAAGGTGCGCAGGTTTGGTGACGAGTAGAGGATGAGCGCAAACACAATTTGAGCGAATTCGAGCTCTGTCTTGGCGTCACGCACAAACGTCTTGATGCGGTCCGGAAATCGGGGCGAGGCTTCCACGAGGCGGCGCCATTCGGTGCGTTTGTACGGACAGAGGACGTCTGTCGGATAATGATCGGTGCCTAAGCAAGAAACGTAGGAGAGGATGCGCATGTTGTCGCCCAGCTCTGGGCGTTCGAGCAGAGTTTGGAGAAGGGACTGAAGCCGTGTCTGACCCCATAGATAGACTGTCTGGTAGAGGAAAGGTATTGCCAGGTCCGAGAGCCGGCGACACACGAACGCGAGGCGGTAAAGGGCGACGCGGTTCGTGACAACGACGCCATCTGGATCGGTGTAGGCTTGGAATGGAATGTCGAGGCCATCGAGCGGCGGTGTCAGGTGGCCGACAATCTGAAGCAAGACTTCATCAGGGAGGGCAAGTAATGACAAAGACGAAGCCATTGTGTGAGAGGAACCGGTGAGCGGTGGTTGAGCGGGTGAGAAATTAGGAGTCGTCGTCAAGTCGAAGGAAGGGAGGTGGAAAGGTGAGTGAGATATTAGATCTTGATTAGGCGGGGTTATGTGCCGGAGTGAGACAGCGTTGAAGTCTGTGACCGGACGAGAAAAGTTCTAGACGAGACGAAATAAAAGAGACAGATACAGAGTGAGAGACGTGTGCCCAGGCCTGTCTCAACCAACAGGTGGTTGGCGGGGGAGGCTGAGCAAGATGAAAGCGAGATGGTGACCTTATGTAAAGCAGTCACTTTACTTGGCGAAGCGACAGCGACAGCGACAGCGACACATGCCAGCGAGGTTAAGGTAGATGAGCACGCAGGGTTTGACGAGGGAGAGGTGGGAGGGCTTGCAGGAGGAGAAAACCGAGAAGAAAAAGAGGAATTTAGATGAGACGGGCGCGTGGCGTAGCAAGATTCCCCCAGGTTTTCCGCTCCGATGCACTCCACCAAGAACCCACCGTGTCAGGGACTCCCAGGCTTCGAGAGTCTCCGACAACGAAGGGGCCCCCTTTTGACGATCCGGATGCGGCGAGTGGAGGGGGTTTGGTAACTTGGTTCAGTCTGTGAGAAGCGGATGCGGATGGGGGAAAGGTGTGAAGGAAGTGTAAGCAAGTAAAATACCGGTAGGCAATAAGAAAAGATGGGCCTTGGGTGCCATGGGGATTTGAGTGTGGGCGGAATCCCATCTTATTGATTGTTGCTGTCCCGAGGTCCTTGTCATCCAGATGCTTCTGCTGCCATGCGCGGCAGGATACGTACTTGTACATATTACATGCGTACCGACATCCAGCCTAATACCTTATTACTTGTCTGCTTTGTGGGTTCGTGCGTCTGCGTATGCGCTGGAAGAAATTGGAATATTCTGTACACGTATCTCGGACGGGTTTCGAAAAGGTCGATGAAGCTTCCCGGGTTCGAAGGCCACCTCCATCGTGGAACAAGTCTTTGAGGTGAAGATAGCATCTTTGAGTCGTGACAGCAGACCAGCCTGCACTTGCAATAGCAACGGGGGACGGCGGTGGTATCAGAGGAATGACGTTGCCGGAAGCGCACCCGTTCCTCGGCGATCATTGAGCTGTCTGGAGGCTTGGCTGTAACTACCCTGAATTTGGCGTGGACGAGGTTGGGTGACAACGCATGGTCTGCGAACGAACGAACCGATCGGGATGCTAGGGCCGAAGGGTAAACTGTCTTGTTGATTACCTAGCCACTTGGTAGTGTTGATGGTGGTCGGCGAGGGCACATTGGATGAAATAGCGTCGCAGCCATGGTGCAGTGAGGAATTCGAAGCGGCAGAGAAGGGAGCACAGAGGAAGAGGAGCAAGACCTTCGCCTGCGGTGGGCTGCCCAAGGTGAGAAAGGTGAAGAAAGAACAAAAGATAAAAGAGTGGGGGCGGTGGATGGAGGGGTATCCCAATTCGGGATAGTGCAGAGACGTATACATGGGATCCACCCTCGGAGGGCTGGAAGCGAATGATTGGCAGATCCTCGCGCCGCCTCCCTTCCGCCCCTTGACGCTGCCGTCCCTCACCCAACACCGCCATCCAAGCTGACTGACATCAACTCCCAAGTTTCGACTCAATCTTGTTCAGACTTTGTTTCTCCACCGCCTCAACTAGGAGTTGGAGATGGTTGCAATTGCGTCCAATGTGGAAAGTGCATTGCTTCAATGGCAGGTCTGCCAGTTTTATACAGCCATCTTGGTGGCTTGGCACCTTGGCTACGTTAGGACTAACAGACTGTCACCGCAGTACTCCAAACTTACACCGCAATTACGTACCCATCCCGAGTGCCATTTGGCTTGAAATGCCGACGGGAAAAGCTGGCCAGACGGAAACACGGCGGTCACGAGGGCCAGACCACATAGCAGTGCGAGCGGTCTGGTTATGGGAAATGATCCAATTTATCACGCTATGGCAGATCCGGATCGACGTGTTTGTTTGCAATCTGGCCAGGTTATGCATGTCTTGGGACCTCCCTTCTTTTGCTGTCAACTTCTATTGCTAATACCTACCTATTCATGCAGGTCAATTCCATTCCTTCATTGACCGTTGGAATGTGGATTCCGAGCCTCAAAGCAATACCGACAATGCTTTGTTACCGGCACTCGATCATGTCGCTGTCCTCCCTGCTTACCTAATATCCAACGGAGACTGGACACCTGGCCCCACAGCCCGCGCGACCTTGAGCCTCAGGCACTCAAACGTATTCCCCAGGCATCAAACTCCTGAACGCCTGCGTCCGCTTGCTTGCGGATGTCTCCCACTACCACTCCCACTTTGTCGCTACCGCTCCCGCAGACACACCAAAATCGTCTTCTCCAACAGGGTGCCCCCAGTCATTGCGAATAGGACGGTTCCTCGACTCCAAAGAGATCACACCACTTTCCGGGGCCTTACGGATCTCCTCCGTCAGGGATCCCACGCTTAAAACGTGGTCGACACCGTTGACCCCCTACGGAGTAATCCAGGGTCTCTCCTAGGTTCCCACTGTTCCGTCGGCCTGGATTCGCTTTCAAGACGACGACACGACATCGCCGCCTACCTTATTCAGTGCCATGCCTTTTCGACGTCGTGTCGAGGGCAGAGTCGACGACTCACACCGTGCAGCCATAAGGCCTACCCGCCGGCTACCTAGGATTCCTCATTTTCCCGACTGGCTCACGCTGCGGTCCATGTGTCGTTGTGAAACTTGGGACCAGCTGATTCCAAGACAGAAGCTTGTTTTTCGTCTCCTCGTCGCCGTCTGGGACGAAAGTCTCCCAGACGAGCCTGCGCTTGGATAGCAAGGCATTGTTCGGCATGCTCTCGCCCCCTCAGAGGTTTATCTGGAGCCAAACTCACACAACCCGAAGAATCTTGCTCATCCCCAGTCCACTCTACTTCCGGAGTCTCGTCGAAAGATGTCTACGGCGCGTCCTGTGTGCTGGAGCAGCCCCAGCAAAGAAAAACCTGGAAGCTATGATGCCGGTCAAGTTGACCTAGGTCTCGTGCTGCCTTACCTCGGTGAGATTAGCCTTCGATTCTGGGCATGAATTGGCTGAGTGGCCATTTCACATCGGGGACCATCTTTGACACCCTCACGATGACCCATCGTTGCCGGCAACTATACCCAAAGTTTGGGGGCAGCGGTGCTCAGACTCGAATGGCTTTCAAATCGCAAGCGCTTTCTCTTCGCAGTGAGCCACTAGCTATGGAGGCTTCATCACCGTCTTCATCGCGACTACTTCACCATTACTATTCCTACAGAAGTCTGCAGGTTTCAAAAACGAGCCCGCTTGTTACGTCTACGTGTTGAAGCTAGTCAATACTGCGACTATATAACCTCAGTGCGATCGAACTACGTTGTAGCGAGCTTGACGAACGATGCTACAACTCAATCAATCAGTTAGCCTTAGGTTCCCACAAACCATCGGTCTCTTGTCCAGGGCATAGCACCGACTCAGGCTCGTCGCTACCGCTCACGCTGTCCATAGACACCACAATTCGTTTCCGCAGCCTCGATGGACTATATCGGATGGGTCTCGGCGTTTCGCCATTCTCCGATTCACTGCTGCTGCTCTCTTCGTTGCTGGAGCTCTCATCTCGCGAATGTTTACTGCCGCATACCGAGTAGACCGACTGGCCCCGAAACTTTCGTCTCCCTGGGCGTGTTCCCTCTCCACGCTCTTTGCATAAAATGGCAACTGCAGTAGGCACGCTGCCACTCCCAAGATCTCTCATAACGCCCAACGCTTCCTCTTCCGTACGACCTTGATCCAGCAACCCCTTCATCTTGTCCCAGAAGGCCTTGCGGCGAGTGAACCACGAACGCCCATACGTGCCGTTTCGCCACTTGGCCCGGTACATCTTCTCCAGCAGTTCGACAGGCTGCTGACCGTGGAGACCGTACTTATACTCTGCCCATTGCTCTTCGACTGTCGGCGGGTGCGGGTAGAACTTGAATATTGGCCGCAGAACTCCATCCTTGCCAACGACGGTCAGTGGGCTGAAGTATTTCGGGTCATCGTACGGGTTGACAGGGTCTCTTGGGGATAGCAAATTTTGTCGAGACGCTTTCCGGCGAACAACAGCTTCATTGACAGCAATGTCTGTGACTTGCTCGGCTTTGGGGGATCTGGGCCCCAGTGCCTCTGGTTCCACCTCCAACACCTCCTCCCCCTGGTGGTCCTTGCTGTCATTGGTATCATCATTCTTTCTCCTTTTCTTCAAAGGCTGATTTGCACGTTGATTCAACGCAACTACCCGCGGCTTAGGCGCTTTTTTGCCAGTGCTTCTTCTTACCACCGGTAGTGATGCCCCAGGGGCCGCTGGTTGTGACTCTCGACTCTCATGGGGAATCCGAGGACCGGGTGTCCGAACTCTGGACGCAACTGTGATGGATTCCCGTCCTGGTGGCGGCACATCACATCTTTCAGCGGGCACTGGTGGTGTTGGAGATGGCGATGGGAGAACTGCACCTCTCTCATGGCCCTTTTTACTGCCATCTTGCTGCGCGCAATGTCTCACTGCCGGATCTAGTGGATCGACTCCAAAAACTTCCTATTACTAGTCAGCACATCGAATGCAACAGCCGATATCACCTCAAAGATAACCAAGCGAACCAGCTAGGCCTCTGTAGGGACATTCGGGTACGACAGAAAACTTACCTTGACGACTGAAGTCAAGACGTTGAGCTGCTTTTCCAACCTCCTATTGACTTGGTTCACATGCACCGCCATCTCTCGATCTGTTGCTTCTTGTCGCGCTTGCAACTCCCGGACTTCTTTTGTGTACTCTTGCTGTAGTCCAATGACTATTTGAGCGAACCCTTCCTCATCTGGTGGCCCAGTAGCCAATGGCGTAGCTACAACTTCTGATTTTGCTTCATCCTCGCTGTCAGAGTAGTCGACCAGCCGTGCTTGGCTCCGTGCTTTCATATTTAGCCGTCGTAAGTTGATAGTCTTCTCGGATGAAATCTTTTGCGACTCACGTGCTCGAATGTGAATCTTGCAGAATGCTACCCAGGCAGAAACGTTTCCCTCGATCCAGTGAGACGTACGGACGCCAAAATTTATTCTCGGACCACGTACTTCTTAGGTGCCACGAACACGCAGGGGATCAAAGACCAAGTTCGAGGGCGGTGGTCATTACTCTCAGACATGATCCGCCGTGTGCCTGATTTCTTTGTCTGCGTTCAAGTACGAGTTTGGCCATGTGCAACCACAATCGCCATTGTGCAATCACCCCTCGAACCTCAAATCACCCCGTGCGCTTTCCTGCAAGCAAGACGAGTCGAGCTCTGTGGCCTGAGTGGCTGAAGAAGAATAGAGCTGCAACTGGGAATGACATCCTCTTCGACACTGTACCCAAGGGCTTGTTGTGGCTGAACAATATTAACCTACCATTATTGTTGTGCAACACGAACTTCGTCAGGCTCGACAGAGCCGAGAAACAAAACGCCACAAGAATGGAAGATGAATGGGTTTAATGTTTTACTTCCTAACAGATCTGACATATCCATCCACAGATCTGATAATTACTGACTTCGCGCCAGGGTACCACCAGTCCTCCGACCACTGATCCACTAGCCAGCTTGATAGCTGAACGTCAGTTATCTTGCGTGCAAGAAGGATTACTGGTTTGATTCTGGACAAAAAAAATGGTCTTCGCCACATACTCTCAACATCACCACCCTGTCCTCATACATCACACCAGCACCGAGAAGGCCTTCTCCGCCGGCAAGTCCCTTGAGCTGAAGCCGACCCGGAACGTAAACTCGCCCTTTGGAATCACCCACACTTTATCCGATGCATTCCATAAACTCACATCCCGCCTCATCAGCTGGAACTCCACTTCAGCCGAGGCACCTGCCCCGATCTGAATCTTTTCAAAGCCCCTCAGGACCTTCTTCGGCGTGCCTTCGGGGGCAGACGATGGGAAGGAGACGTAAAGCTGCGGGATAGCAAAGGCAGTCTTGTTGCCCGTGTTCGAGATCGATGCCTTGACGCTGATGAGGTCCTCCCAGAGCTGCGGGTGTCCGCCAGGCTGGACCGGGATAGCCGCGTCCGGGCGCGCAGCGACGGACGAGTTCCCTGCGATAAAACCCACACCGACCTGTTTGTCGACCACGGCGAACGTAGTATACGTCAGCCCGAAACCGAACTCGTACAACGGCTCGATTCCAAGCGCGTCGTAGTGGCGGTAGTCAATCATCTGGCCCTCGGTAAAATCAGCCTGCCATGCAAGCGGGTCAACGGCAGGCTGCGTGAGGTTCACAATTGCCGGGCCAGCGTCCTCCTCGTTGCGAGGGACGGAGTACGGCAGCCTGCCGGAAGGCGCAACGTCGCCCCAAAGTAGGTCAACGATGGAGTTACCGCTCTCCTGGCCTGGGTAATGCGCCGCTAGGATTGCGCCAATCTTGGTATGGTTTGCCCAGGGCATGGTATTTACACCGCCCGAGTGCGTTACCACTACCGTCGTCGCGCAGAAATCAGCCACGTTGTTGATGACAGCCGTCGAGTTCCCGTCGAGCTCAAACGACGTGCGATCGAAGCTCTCGCTGGCGAACGTCTGCTGGAACACGAGACAGATTTCGGGCGGGGGGTATACACCACGGAAATCATTGGCCGCGAGGACGTCGTTGTTGGTCACGTAGAGGACTTCCGCGCCGTACTCTGCCGCTTTGGCGCGGACGGCGGCGAGAGGGGAGATCACGTAGGAGGGGCGTCCTGTGCCGGACCCTCCGCCGATGATCATTGTGCCTGTGTTCGTGTCCTCGGGGACCTCGGAGGGGCGGAGAAAGCCGTTTGTCATCTCGCCTGCGTCGTTGCCGAAGACGCCGATGATCTTGGGCTTTGACAGGGGGAGGGTCTGGTTCGAATTCTTCAGGAGGACTGTGCCGGCGGAGCCCATTTCGCGGATTAGCTTCGCATGGTCGCCGCGGACGTCGCGGCCGTGGGTGAAGACGAAGCCGTCGGGGATGAAGCCCGTGTCTTTGGCGACTTGCAGCCCGACTTCTTGGAACAG